CCCCAAAACCCCAAAACCCCAAAACCCCAAAACCCCTTAAAGTTTAGATAATTATCAAATTGAAGTAATTAAAACTATTAAATAAGTAGGTAATTGCTTGCTGATGATATGTATGCTTGTATTTAAAAATGTCAGTAATTGTCTTTATTTACGGATTCTATAAATTACTTGCCCTTAAAATATCCCATCCAAGCTTCTCTCTGTTCTTCAGAAGTAGTTGCAAAGACTAGTCTTCTCTCAGAGTTGTACCAATCTATGGCTCTGTTTGTCCAAGATGAAGCATTAGTAATGAAGTCAATATTAATGTTTCTTTTTCTGTCTCCGAAATTTTTTTCAAGCATGCTGAAGTCTTCTAAGTAAGTCTTCTTTTAGTCTCCAAGATTATAATCTCTGATAGCCATCAAGTGACCTTTAACAATTCTATTGACTTTGTCATGTTCGTACTCCTCAGCTCTATTGTTTATATCAATCATGGCTACTCTCTTTTCTCTTTCATGCTGCTTTATTTTCTTGTTGTAATTTGAAAGGTCGAATAAGTCATCTTGGTTGCAGTTGGGTCTTGACACACTTCTAGCTGTGTATTCACTCTGTTTTTTATACCGATACAACGAGTGTTACTTTCTTTCTTGACTCTAATAGAATGAATTATTCACAGATCTGGCTTGACTTAAGACATCAGATTCATTTCGTTTAAGTGGACTTAAGCTTTTTTGCTTTACTTCCTCATCTCTGAAATTAAAGATGTCTTCATAATCATCTCTGAGATAAACTTCAAACATGTATTGAAAGAGAGTTCTCTCAATTTCTTTTACATTTCTCTTTCTAAAGAAAGCTTCAGTATTTACTTCAATTCTTGAGACATCTTCAATCGCTCTGATTGGGATTGATACTATTGGTTTGTTAAGGCCAAAAGATTGGTATTAATTTCTGAAATATCTAAAGGCATTATTTGAAACTTAAACCCATCTACTGATAAAATTATTCTCAATGCCGGGTTTGAATCTATAGATTTCTCCTTACTGTACAATTGGATCATTTCTTCCAAAATCTTTCTTATCGTTATTTTCATCTAGATAATTTTTAAGCTTGTTTTTACGTTCTTCTATGTTCTGAGCTTGTCTCGTTAACTTTTAAGTATTACTATCTTCATTATTATTTTCTGTCTTCTTTTAATTTGTATTTTTTATAACAGGCTTATTCAAAATATCATGCCTTAAAAGCTTTGAGTAATCTAATTTAGATGACTATTGAGTAACATAGTTTTGAATTATTGAGCTATCTGACTCTCTCTTTCCTTTTCTAAAGGGCATTTGCAATCTCGATGTATGAATTGGAAGAACAATCTAACTTTTCTTATAATTAGGGGTTTAAATAGGAAAATTTTGGGGACTTCTTGCTGTTTTTATTTTTTTTTGAGTTGGCTAAGCTCTCTTTTAAGGAGAAAAGAATTCTTAAGACTATTTTTAGGTATTACCACCCACATTTAATTACTATTTTTTAGGAGGGGAGAGCAAAAGGCTAAACTTGTTATTGAAGCTTTGCTTATCCTTGAGCATTAAATTTGAAGGTGTGCTCTTTTTTTAAGTGCCAAGAGCTTGATTTTTCTTTTATGGCTAGATAATTCTAGGCTTATTTAGGTCTTTTTATTGTCTAATAGGACTTGAGGAATTATCAGCAAATGGCTTTACTCTTTGCTTTGATTATTGCATTTTCAAGAACCTGTTATTATTATAATTTAGATTAGTCATTGGCGTTCCTGAGCTAGTTGATGCTCCTTATATGCTTCCTTTGAACTTTGTATTTTAGGGTGATTGCTGGAGTTCAAATTTTCGCTTTTAGATTGAATTTAAAATTACTTAATCAACTGTATTATCGTGGATCTCAAGTGAAATGCTTGAGGAATCCTCTGATCCAGCCAGGTTAATTTCCTCAACTTAGTCTAGAATATCTATCTCATCAGTTTTTAATTAGTTATCTTGGATGCTGTTTGGCTAAATTTGGGAAACTGAATTTTCACTGAGATCCTTAATTTCCTCAACTTAGGCTTCCCCTGAATAGGACTCCTCTCCATATTCAAAGTTATCATGATTTTTCTTGGATATCACTCCAGTGTTGTCTTTATTTTGGATGTAATTTGCCTGTCCTAATTCTATTTCAGAGTCTGTTTCACTTGGTTCATATTCCATCATCTTATTGTTAGCCCCATTAACTCTCTAGAGTTAAGTCTCAACTTTAAGCTTTTAAAACTCCTGTGAGCTTTTTTATCTTTTGACCTCTTACATTATTGTTTTGTATTATTGCTTTTAATCTTAGTGAGTGGGATGCTATTGTTAATTTTGATTATTATCGAAGGTGGGTTCAGGACTTGATATTTTTTAAAGTTTGATTAAACCTGAGAAGTCTTCAAAGCCGAATTCATTTACATATTGCGAAGTTTTCCTTGCAGTTTTTAAATTTTGATACTTAGGAGACTTAGAATTGCCTCCCCTTCCCATTCCTCTAAGCCAATAATCCTTTATCTTGGATGAATCTGAGCCTTTCGTTAATGGAGATTGTTGTTGTGGATTTTAAGATTAAGATCTTTGAATAATGGAAGATCTTAGTTTTATTCCTAATTAGTTGGATGTTTGCTGGTTTCCCATGAGATAAATAAATTAAATTTAATATTTCTATAATATATTAAATTAATGCATCACAGACTCATTATTATTCCAAAATAATTCCCTTATGGGGTTTTGGGGTTTTGGGGTTTTGGGGTTTTGGGG